TAACATGACTGGATCTGGGTATAAAACTAAAAGAAAACGATTGACATCGTTCATTCCACCATTAACTGCTAAAGTGAAAGCTGCGAAAAAACTTAGTCTAAAACCAAAAAATATCAAAGATATATTTTCAAACTAAATATGTCTTTCCTTCATAATCATTCTTGCGAGTGCGTTAAGTCAGAATTGGATTTGTTTGCACTACCGTCTACACAAACTAGCATTGAAAATGGATTGTGGATTCATTATAAACCAATTTCATCTCTTGGTGATGATGGACCTATCGAGTTTCAAGTTCCTGGGACCGGCGATGACTACATAGATTTGTCTCATACATTACTCCACATAAAGGCAAAAGTATTAAATCAAGATTCAACTAACTTGGTATCTACTACAATAGTAGCACCTGTAAATAATTGGCTGCATTCACTTTTTAGTCAACTTGATGTTTATTTAAACCAAAAACTTGTATCACCACCTAATAATACCTATGCATATCGAGCATACATGGAAACCCTTTTAAACTATGCCCCTGCTGCTAAACAATCTCATCTTACTTGTAGTCTTTGGTATGAGGATACAGCAGGAAAAATGGATTCTACAGATGGTAAAAACATAGGATTTGTTAAAAGACAGGAATTGATTAGTGAAAGTAAGGAAATAGAAATGATTGGTCATCTTCACAGTGACATTTTTAACCAAGATAAATTTTTAATTAATGGTGTTGAAATGAGTGTTAAATTGGTTCGATCAAGAGAGAGTTTTAATTTAATTGTTGGATCAAACGATGTAAAGTTTAAAGTTTGTATTACGGACGCAACTCTTATTGTGCGACAAGCACGAATTAATCCAAGTGTATTACTCGCACATCAAAAAGTTTTAGCTTCTACCACTGCTAAATATCCTATTACTCGAGCTGAAGTAAAAGTTTTAACAATTCCTTCGGGTGTTCAAGGAAAAACTCTTGATAATATATTTTTAGGACAGGTACCGAAAAGATGTATAATTGGATTTGTGAACAATTCTGCATTTAATGGTTCCCTTACTAAAAATCCATTTAACTTTGAAAACTATGGTATTAATTCTTTCAGCTTATATATTGATGGTCAACAAATACCTTCAAAAGCTTTGCAACCATCTTTTAATAATAGCATATTTACATCAGCATATCATACTCTATTCTCGGGAACTGGTATTCACTTTCTTAATGAAGGAAATGGAATCTCTTGTGAACAGTATGGCAAAGGTTACTGTCTATTAGCATTTGACTTAACTCCTGATTTATCAGCTAACTCATCAACTCATTGGAATCTCATAAAGCATGGTAGTGTAAGAATAGAAGTACGATTTGAATCCTCATTAATACAAACAATTAACTGTATAGTTTATGCTGAGTTTGATAATATTATTGAGATAGATAAAAACAGAAATGTTACTGTAGACTATAGTAGTTAAGGTTATAATATGTGTTGTGTGTTAGATTTTATGTGTTATGTGTAATGCATTTTGTGTGTATGTAACTATGTGAAACGTTATAAAATTAAATAAAACAAATTGTATGCAATATATTTTTTTTTATTTCTTTATAAATCTTCTATTTAATCTAATACAAAACACTGTTCGAGTTGAAATTTTACATAAGCACACTGACTAAATCACTGAACATGCTGCTGCCAAGGATCATCATCATCTTCCCAATCTTTTAAACCACCACCACAATGGAAACACTTGGTCCCGTCTGCATGGCCAGTATAAAAGAAACCAGCTTCTGCAAGATCTTCAGGTTTCTGTCGCATAACTAGAGGCCAGTTTTCGAAACTAAGCAAACGGCTAGATTTTGAACTGAAGAATGGATATTCAGCTCTTGAGTACTGCATACTCTTCTCGTTTTCTTCTCCACTCAGTGTTGTAGTTTTGTTATTCAATGATGTGTTTTGTACACGTATGCCACACTCATCTCTTCCTTCCGCTCTTGTCTTCCTGTAATTGAAGTAAACAGAATCACATTCACTAATGATCAGCTAATGACTGTCATTGTTAAAAAAGTATTTTTTAACTTTTTCACTTTCTGCTATTGTCTTTGTTATATTGTATACGAGGGCGTTTGTGTTGTCGTAGATGCTATCCTTATTAGTCTTTACGTAATATTTAATTCTAGTGGAAGCATGTTTCCAATGATCAGTAGTTGGAATCTTGGATAGCTTCTTCATATCGTACATTTCAATTTTGATGAGATGCGTCGCTTGGTCTCCGTCGTCAGAATTAGTAGAAATGTATGATACACCATCTCTAGCGGCTCGTGCTACGGTTGATGATAACAGCTTCCTCTTTTTTATTTTTGATTCAGCTTCAAAAAAATGATCAATCGATTGCGATTTTCTTTTTCCACCATCGCATGTGTTATTATTAATGACGAGGTCATCACTCTCTTCTTGAGGGGAGAGTGGCGAGTAGTAATACTGTTTATAGGTATCTTCATCGAAGCTCAATGATTTCTGCAACAACACAGTTATCATGTTAATATCAATTTGTTAACACTTAATCATAAAAGTTAAAAAAGTTAAAGTTACAGCCTATTAAAGTCCACTGCTGAACATAGGCCTCCTCTCATTTCTGAGAGGGTTTTAGAGCAAGGAAATGTCCGCCGCGCTCCCTCAATGTGTGTTGGCGAACTTCACATGCCTTCGAAATTTTCTCAGACATGCAGGTTTCCTCACGATGTTTTCCTTCACCACCAAGCACGTGGTAATAAGCACTTAAAATTGCTATTAACAATTTAATTGGTGCTGGCGGGGATCGAACCCGGGTCGCGTACTGTGAAATTTACAGCTAGCGCTAACCATCTGAGTTACCACGGCTTAATCATATACATACACAATATTTAAATAAAATAATACACACACATGAAAATAACAGAAAAAAAGTAATTTAGTCAATAGAATAAACACTTACATCCATAGCCTTTGGTGTATTGAAGTAACACAAATGTACTATTGATAGATCCACTGTAGCCAAACGACCGTACACTAACTCGATGAGTGCGTTTGTTGGTCTTATATACCACCAGTACGTAAAAATTCTAATCTAAAGTATTTCCGTAATGAGTTGATAATTACTTTATGCGTCAACCAGTTTATCTCACATTTCCGTTGCCTATCTCAACATTTCTTCGTATTGTGTTTTGTTTGGTGATCAATGACTCAAGTACGATTTATATAACACAAAAATGCAATTTAATATTTAGAAACATATCAGTTTATCTCACATTTCCGTTGCCTATCTCAACATTTCTTCGTATTGTGTTTTGTTTGGTGATCAATGACTCAAGTACGATTTGTATATCACAAAAATGCAATTTAATATGTAGACATCACTATAATTGACCATTCCTATGTTATTCATTGAGTAGCTAGGTACTGTAATAATCTACTAATAGCAGTAATATCATGGATACACTAGATGTACAACAACATCTGAAAAAGATTCACCCCAGTCTAGAAAATAATGTTTATGCAGCTAATAGACTGCCTATGTATACCCACGTACCAACGTATATAATATGTAATTTGGATACAGATGATAAACCAGGGTCACATTGGGTAGCTTTATATATCGATACGAATGACGTCGGTCAATATTTTGATTCATATGGACGATCACCTGTACGATATCATCTAGAGTTTTTAAAAAGGAATTGTAAAAGATGGAACTGGAATGTTGATAGGATTCAGAATGAGTGGACTTCAGTTTGTGGCGAATATTGCTTAATGTATTTGCTATATAAGTTTCAAGGATGTTCAATACATAGTTTTACGAGTATATTTACAAGGAACACATTGTACAACGATATTTTAGTGGATGAGATGTTTCGCTCCTATTTTATAGATAATAATTAATAAGATTTTGTATTTTATAAATAAAAATTGTAACAAAATTATGTAATGTGTTTTATTGATGATTCAGATTAGCGTTGTATAAACAAAGAATTATAATAAACAATAGCACTGATATAGTCGACGCACACGCTGCAATGAAGGTGATTAAGGAACAATAGAACAATAGAAATAGGAACAATGGGACGCTAATGACGGTGGAGGCCCTTACCGGATATCAATTAGATATTAGCTAATTGATCTACACATCTCCGGAACCGTGCATTCTACACAAAAATGGACCGCGGATTCGTGATCAGAGCATGCCAAAACCTTTTTTTTTTAGGATCGGGCGTCGACGAACGTCGTTGAACCACGTCTGACTCAGGTGGTCTAGAAGTGGTACAACTACACTACTGGTAACACACATAAAAAAACATACAGTCGAATTGAGTACCGAGAATTTTGGCTTGGATTCTTGTCCTTTAATCCATGTCTTCATTTCATCCGGGATCTTCGGTTTTTATAGATATTCTTCTTCACAATATGCTGATGCGTCACATTGCGAAATTTTTGAGAGATTTTGACGACAGCTCAACCCAGCGGGCAGTCGATGACGACAGTCACTCAAGTTAATAAGGCAAACAAAATAACTTAAGGATTTTATCAACATTAAAGTACTTGTTCCGTCATTTTCTCTAACAGTTCACAAAATAGTTATAAAATAGTGACATACTCAAAATCGCATCACTTTTACATATCAAAATCAACTTCAAACCATTATTTAAACAATAAAACAGGAGCCACAATCCGTCGACGGTCAAACCCGTTTTTTGGCACAGATAATACAAATTATACAGTTTAAAAATGTTTCGACAAAATGTTTGACATAATATCGATATCGTCAATCAATCTTAAATCAAATAAATTTAACATGAGTAGAAATAAGCATGTAGGGAACGCGCGTGTCGCCTATAGTACTCTTAATTTGGCTCATCTTCAATATATCGCCAATTTGGTCGATAAAATTTCGTCGAGGACGTCCCTTAGGAACGTTTCTTTTTATTTATAGTGGGTTAATAGACGTTCTTACCTCGCGACTACGCGCGTGTGCGCTGGGTCGGTCTGACGTCATAGTCCTGTATCAAACATCTGCAGCGAGCGAGTGATGACGTCATCCTTCAGACACGACTCCAGAAACTCCTCGATCGTGATCACGCCGTCCTGGTTCAGATCTAACTTCCTAAACACCCTGTCCACCTGTAATTGTAAATGATTTATTAGGGAGAAGAAATTTACAGATTTATATATTTACAGTCTATTGACGTAAATTAGTCATGTGGTAAGTTTAGTATCCGACTTACCACATGAGGACGAGGCTTTACTATAGTATGCCAGTGCGCGGCTACTATCCTACCTGCTGATATGCGATACATACATAAACACTCACGCCTGTCATCCAGAGGGGTAGGCAGAGACTATGGACTTCCATTCGGCACGATCCTGACACACCTCTCTCGCCTCCTTCACATCCATATATCTACTCGCACAAAGCGCCTCCAGAGCGGTGATGTGAATCGATAGTTAATAAAATTTTTAATTATAACTTAAATTAAAAATTTATAAAACTTCAGAAACAAAAAGAGCTGATGATCCTCAAACGGCTGAACGGATTTCCTTGAATCATAGCTAAGAACACTCTGGATTAAGATACCTATCAAACGAACAAAATTTAACTAAAATAGGTTCATCCGTTAAGGAACTATGAGGCTACAGACAGACACACAGATACACGCTACAAATATATAACACCCCTCTAACTTAATAATTATATATTTTTATATATTGTTGGGAATGTGGGTAAAAAATTAAAAGAAATACGAAACGAATTCGAAATACGAACAAATGAAGGTAGAATGGTAATTTGCCACTTGTTTTAGCGGTTTATAAAGTACCGCACAGGCGACTAACAGTCACTGCGCCCCCTTTTCCCTAAAGGGGGTCGCTTCCGATTCGACAGAAAGGTCATACAGGCCAATGCTAGTCTCACAGGTGGTGTTTAGTGGGTTACGTTTCGCAGTGAGTCGTATGCTTAGAGCATTTACCGGCTCCCTCCCCGCTTCCCGGAGGGTAGCCCTTTTCATTGCTTCTGGGCGCAAAAAAAAAACTAAGAGGCATCAGTCTGTAATTCTAAGAGTCCCACTGTTGTTACTGTACCGTTGGGGTATTCTACTAGTGTAGGCAAGGAGGGTCGTGTTACTGAGAGACTTCCCTGTGTTACTTTGATGTGTTACAACACTGGTAGTGACGCTGTTGGTTTGCATACTTTGGTTTTATCATGTAATTGGGGTATGTGTGATAGTAAGCAGGGCTTGTTACCGTTTAGTGTTCTTTTATTTAAATAATTTTGAGAATAATTTGTAACATCAGAAGTGGAATAATTTCTTACAATATATATTTTGTTTGATTTTCGCACATCCTAGATTGAAAGTACCTAAGTGCGCAATGCAAAGTGAATTTATGTAGTCGTTTAAAGCCGTAACGAGCGAATCCACTCGACTATAATAAGGATTTTCGGAATTTATACCCACAGAAAATATGACCCAGTTACTGAAATGTCAGCGTAGTGATACGAGGGAAGCAGAGTCCTCGCTTTTGTATCTAAGTACAGCGACGGATCCGGAAGAAATAATGGGTCATTTCTATACTTGTTGTGTGCGTTAGCTAGTAATGACTATAATCTCGAGTGTATTAGGCTATGTATACATAAGTATATACTACAATGAAGTGCTTCACAGCTTTCCACTTTTCAACCGACTTCAAAAACAGGAGGAGGTTCTCAATTCGACTGCATTTTTTATGTGTGTTACCTCATAACTCATAACTTTTCCGATTTTGATCATTCTTTTTTTTATCTCTGTTTATCAATATCCAGTAGTTTTTGAGTTATCCTTTATAATGACTGACTACATTGACGATGTTTTCATTTTATTTATATTGAAGTCGGTTGTACATAATTTATTAATTTTTCCACTTGTTTATTCGACAGCCCCGTGGCGCAGTGGCTTAGCAATGGGTTGTAGCGCTGGGAGCCGTGGGTTCGAATCGCACACGGATCAAGTATTTGTATGGCCTACAAATAATTTTTCAGGGTCTGGATGATTATACAAGAGAAAGTCCTAGTGTGGGGGTAACGTTTATATAAATAAAAGAAGCAAAAAAAATCATTGTAGTTCTCGGGGGTGACAATAGTCACAATATTCTCTCTGTAAGCTATGTCTACACCAGTGCGCTTTCCTGTTCATCTTGCGTCTTCCTCTAACGCATGCCTGAGCAACCATAGCTCATGCAAGCGCATGCGCTAAAATTAGTTCGACAACAGCTCATGCCTCTAGCGAACGCTGATCCGTCACCGGTGGGTTTGCATGCAACATTTCGTGCGTTTTAGTAAACAATATGGCGGAAGACAAAGTTAAAACATTAGATAATGTGTGTTATGTTTCGTAATTTTTGGCTCCACTTTTTTCAAAAGCTTGTAAAAACCGGCTTTGGTCATTCGTGTGAAATCTTCACTTAAAAAAAAAATTCATTTAAATCTTTCTTTCTTCTTCTAAAATCTTGTGTTTTTTCGTTTCTTCAAATAATGTTTCATCCAGATTCTCCTTTTCTTGTGTTCTTTCCTTGCACTTGATACAAAATATGCCGCGCTGGTAGCTACTAGTGCCGCGTCCATCTCTAACCAAACCTAACCTAAGAGCGTGAGGTATAGACGAGTTGCATGCAACAAGCGCACGGGGATAGACGATAAGCTGCATGCGTCTTATGGCACAGCGCTTGACCCAAGACGACGCAAGTTGAAACGCAAAATGAACGTGAAAACGAAATTGAAACTGCGCCACCACGTGAGTACACGCACACACATATAGCTTCACACCGAGCGCTCCGTGCGCCACCACGTGAGTACACGCACACACATACAGCTTCACACAGAGCGCTCCGTGCGCCACCACGTGAGTACACGCACACACATACAGCTTCACACAGAGCGCTCCGTGCGCCACCACGTGAGTACACGCACACACATACAGCTTCACACAGAGCGCTCCGTGCGCCACCACGTGAGTACACGCACACACATACAGCTTCACACAGAGCGCTCCGTGCGCCACCACGTGAGTACACGCACACACATACAGCTTCACACAGAGCGCTCCGTGCGCCACCACGTGAGTACACGCACACACATACAGCTTCACACAGAGCGCTCCGTGCGCCACCACGTGAGTACACGCACACACATACAGCTTCACACAGAGCGCTCCGTGCGCCACCACGTGAGTACACGCACACACATACAGCTTCACACAGAGCGCTCCGTGCGCCACCACGTGAGTACACGCACACACATACAGCTTCACACAGAGCGCTCCGTGCGCCACCACGTGAGTACACGCACACACATACAGCTTCACACAGAGCGCTCCGTGCGCCACCACGTGAGTACACGCACACACATACAGCTTCACACAGAGCGCTCCGTGCGCCACCACGTGAGTACACGCACACACATACAGCTTCACACAGAGCGCTCCGTGCGCCACCACGTGAGTACACGCACACACATACAGCTTCACACAGAGCGCTCCGTGCGCCACCACGTGAGTACACGCACACACATACAGCTTCACACAGAGCGCTCCGTGCGCCACCACGTGAGTACACGCACACACATACAGCTTCACACAGAGCGCTCCGTGCGCCACCACGTGAGTACACGCACACACATACAGCTTCACACCGAGCGCTCCGTGCGCCACCACGTGAGTACACGCACACACATACAGCTTCACACCGAGCGCTCCGTGCGCCACCACGTGAGTACACGCACACACATACAGCTTCACACCGAGCGCTCCGTGCGCCACCACGTGAGTACACGCACACACATACAGCTTCACACAGAGCGCTCCGTGCGCCACCACGTGAGTACACGCACACACATACAGCTTCACACCGAGCGCTCCGTGCGCCACCACGTGAGTACACTACTGTAGACATATCTATTGCCACTTTTCCGTAGAGCTTATCATCTCGCTTGTCCACTAAATATTTAAACATATTTATTAAGATACTAGAATTAAAAAATATATAAGAATTGCTCCTAATGTTACTAAAATTCGCGTTAACTTTTTTTTTATAGGATCGGGTGACAAGCGTGCACACAGTCCACCTGATGGTAAGTGGTTACTGTGACCCATAGACATCTACACCTATCCTCAATAAAGACTCAAGATGCTGATGCGTTGTCACCCGTGAGGACTAAGATGGAATGCCTCTTTGCCACTAAAAACTAAAACTACGCTAAAATGGATGTAAAGAGTCATTGTCATGTCATTCACGACAGTATAGCGGATTTGAATCTACGACTTTTGCGGTCTGCACACAACATTAGGCTACTGTCTCCTAAAATTTGAAAATTATCACCTTTTTTTTATAAGATAAGGGTAACTAACGAGCACACAATCCAACTGATGGTAAGTGGATAGACCGTAGACATCTACATCTATTCTCGATTACGAATCAAAATGCAGATGCGTTGTCACTCGTGAGGACTAAGATGGCTTCGTTTCCAGTAAAAACGGTCTTCGGTTCTCTACACTCACCACACGAACCACAGCAGTGATAAGCTGATATTTTACGCTGGTATTCTGTGAGAGCGTGGTCCTTCCCCGGTCGAGCCGACCCATTCGCGCTACAACTATACAAATAATATAGCTGCAGCATGACTCTGCAACGTATAAAAATGTCTAGTGTAGGTAGATGGATTCAAACTAACAATCATTTGGATTAAAATGAAATATTATTTAATACCACCCTTACAGCTTGTCAAAAGTCCACTGCTGAACATAGGCCTCCCCCATAGATTGTCTCATAGGGGTTATATCTGCCATAGTTGTAATGTTACTGTTGATTTGAAAACACCACTCAGTGGGTCATGTGCTCCTGGTAGATTATCTTCTATACATCCATTCATTACAGCTAGTAGTCCACTGCTGAACATAGACCTCCCCCATAGATTGTCTCATAGGGGTTATATTTGCCATAGTTGTAATGTTACTGTTGATTTGAAAACACCACTCAGTGGGTCATGTGCTCCTGGTAGATTATCTTCTATACATCCATTCATTACAGCTAGTAGTCCACTGCTGAACATAGACCTCCCCCATAGATTGTCTCATAGGGAGTATATTTGCCATAGTTTTAATGTTACTGTTGATTTGAAAACACCTACTCTCAGTGGGTCATGTGCTCCTGGTGGATTATCTTCTATACATCCATCCATTACAGCCTATTTAAAAGTCCACTGCTGAAGATCTCCCCATAGATGGACTCATAGAGGGGATATATGCCAGAGTTGCCACGATTGGCAGACGGGTTGGCAACCGCAGTTTTTTAGTTGTAATTAGAAAGACGCTGCTTTCCATCTTCTGATTTGTTTCCATCAGTCGCCTCTTAGAGCACCCACGGGATGATATGGGATAGTGGATATTCTTACACCGCCACTACACGGTTATTTGATTCTAAGATGTAAGTGATTCCCATCTTTAGTGCAGGATGTCCAAGAGAAGAAATATTTATGAAACAAAATACTAGTTTAAATGCAAAAGCAAAACAATGCAAAACGACAATGGGTACGCTTGACATATACGTAATTATTGACGTAATTATATACGTCATTACGTAATTACGTCAAGCCCACTCATTGTCGTTTTGCATTGTGCGTCGTGCATGACCTTGGCGGGATGTACAGCAAGATGGACAATGAATAAGGCGCTTAAGAATTGTTTTATTTTAAGTCACCTTGATTGACCAGGCGCGTCATCATCATCGTCATCATTACAGCCTTTCACAAGTCCATTGCTGAAAATAGGCCTCCCCGAGTTATGCCATAAAGCACGGTCCTGAGCCACCTGCATCCGTCGACTGCCTGCATGTCGTCACTCAATCTAGTCGGGGGTCGCCCTACATTTCGCCTACCGGTACGAGGCTGCCGATACCGATTCGAGCTATATGGCAAGCCCATTTCCACTTCAGTTTACTACATCTAGATCTTAATATATATATGTATATATATACTAAATATTTTTCTCTCTATTAACTCCAAAACTACGTTTGAAAATTCTGTGGGGGGTATCATCACCTGTTCATTCGCTTTCGCGTCGTCGAGCCTGCCTGCAGGTGATCCAGGTGGTGCGCGCCTGCCCAGCAGCTCATGAACCGCAACCACCACCTCGGCCAGCTCTTGACGGGTGATAGCTCCGTCACCGTCCACGTCGTACAACCGGAAAGCCCACCGCAGTCTCTCGTAAACGGAGCCACGGAGAAGCGTTGATAACGTGACCAGGAGCTCCTGGAACATCAATAATTTTATTATGAAACTAAAGAGACAAACAAACTTACAATACATTAAAATATATTGTGTCATTTGCTGTAGAGACTATCGGTCCGTGGGGTCCTCGTGTGGTGAAGTTGCTAAAGGATCTGTATTTTTTTATAGAATAAGGGTGAACAAATGAGCACACAGTCCACCTGATGGTACCTATGTGGATGCTATGGCCCATAGACATCTACATTTATTCTCGATTAAGAATCCAAATGCAGATGCATTGTCACCCCCGCGGACTAAGATGGAATGCCTCGTCCAAGTAATAAAACCGGCGAAGTACGAGTCGGACTCGGTTTCCGTTCCGTACCATCGTATTACATGTTTTTATTAGAGGAGCCCCCTTTAAGTTTTAATTTTGTTGTTATAGCGGCAACAGAAATACACATTCTGTGAAAATTACAACTGTCTATCTATTACGGATTATGAGATACAGCACACTGACTGACAGCCGGACAGACGGACAGACAGACAGTGGAGCCTTAGTAATTGGGTCCCTTTGGTTACCCTTTGGGTACGAAACCCTAAAAATGGTCTCAGGTTCTCTACACTCACCCGGTCGAGCCAAACTATTCGTGATACTAACTTAAAAAGCTGCATGGCTCTACCACAAAGAAATAATCCTTCTCTGTAATCTTGCTCTCACCAGATGTCGTTAGTTCGGACTGAGGCGAAGTTATTTATCACAATGTTTCATCAAAAGTTTTTCCGTTGGTAGTGTATGTACAAATACAAAACAATACCTTAGTGGACTGTTTTTTTTTTAAATATATATGTACATTTTTTCACTCTCTTAACATTTTGTTCTTTTAGGAACTTTCCAAGTTCGATTTATTTATTTCTAATGTAATTAAAATAAAATGTAAATCAGAAAGAAATATTTTTCTAACTATATAACTTCCCCGCCATGAAATCCGTTAAATACTTGCACTTATTCCTAAGAGGCGTCACAAAAAGCACAAAGACGAGGGGCGAGGAGAGGACAGGAGAAAGAGAAGACAGGAAAGGAGAGTAGGGGAGGGGAGGAAGAGGAGGGAGAGGCAAAGACAGTAACTAAAAGGAGAATAGAATAGAATAATTTTTGGTCAATATAGATCACATGTGTAATTCTTATTGAAAATTATTTCTTACTTTACCACTGGTTCGAGAAATAATCCCTCTGTCCTGGGAAGAACTAGCAAGAAACCCAGCGCGACTTTTTTAAAGTAAATCTTATTGCATGGTTGTAGAAAATATTTACAAAGTTTATTTTAAAAACAGCTTGAAAGCGACCATCTCATTTCCACGGGTTATTATCAACTATGTATTCATTTATATTATAATAATCCTTTTTGTAGAGTTTTAGTTTAATAAAATATTTAAATTTCCAAAGAGCTTGTATATATATTGCAGAGAAGAGGAGAGGAGTTCTTTGGAGTTCTCTGCAATCGACTGCACCGAACCTTGTTCGAACTTTTTATATATAACTGTGACTTTATTAACACAAGATTTACGTACGAAGCTCCGAAGCAAATATACAGTGGAAAAGTAATTTAAAGTCGGTCGAGAAAGCAGATGTGGCTTAAGGTCTTAGTCGGGTTTATTAGAGCGGGGAAACTTTTGCTGAGAAGTTATAGGGTTGTCTGGACTGAATATTAACTGCTCGGACGATCATACGAGTATCTACACACATATAATAGTGTACACAGTGACTCTGTGGCTTGAATGACGTAACACAATTACTCTCGACCTAATCTGGCTTGGATGAAATACGCTTACATGAGCTTTAAAGAACATTTTTTTAAATTAATTGTGACATTGGCTACACGGTATTCAGCCAAAAAGAATTCATAAAACACAACATCATGTACCTAAGTTACAATATAAAAAATAACAATTTTCTCGTTGACCGTCACATTGCAAAGTTTTTTGAGATTTGGACGGCAGCTTAAGAAAGCCAACAATCAACGATGTTAATATTTCAAGGCGATATTAAACTTGGCTCAGACTAAATAACCTTATATGATCTTTATATAGGGTTATTTTTCAAACGGTAACCAAATTTCAACCTTAAGTTCAAATATATAAATAATGATATATCGTGATTACAGTTTTTAAAAATACGAGTAAATAAGTCTTCTATTTTTATTTGAAACTAGCTGTGCCCGCGGCGTAGCTCGCGTATATACGTTTTATTAAAGAATTTGACATTTAGGCAAGAGAATATTAAACGATATATACCATTACTATATCAATAAGTGGTAACAAAATAAATCTTTACGAAACGAAAATCTTACGTAAACGACACGTATACTTAGCCGGGGTGTACACAAAAAGGTTACGGGGGCTACTAACGCGGGAAAAAGCAACATAGAGTTGGCCATGTGCAAAATAGTCAGTACTGAGGTCCACTCCTGCAACGCGTTAAGTTTGACCTTGCGCTTTATTTACGGTCATCGCATAACACACGCTGACTGGGAACTGAACGCGCTTAAAACTGAAATGAAAGTTATTTGGTAATAGAAGGATTTTGGGTATAAATGCAACATCACGACATTTCGTTGCAATTTTGTTACTTTTAGTCAGCTTCCGTTACATAGCTTAGGTGGATATAAATTTCTTCCGTGAGTCTCAATACGATTCACCGGCGGAGAATCTTAACATCGCAATTCAGAAAAGGTTGTAATTTGTACAACTCATTCATTTAAATGTGACGAAGTGAATAATGCTATATAAAATTTAGTGCATTGGTTTAACGTTAATAATCTGCATTTGAACGGAAATAAAACTAATTGTGTTAAATTTACAACAACGAATGTTCAAAATCTGAATACCAATGTGTTTTTAAATGCGGAGGAATTGAGCCCTATTGTATCCACTGTTTTTCTTGGCATCACTCTTGACGCAAAGCTCCAGTGGGGCCCCCATATATCCAAATTAGCAAGCAGACTAAGTTCTGCAGCCTATGCTGTAAAAAAGATTAGAGGTCTCACTAGTGTCGAGACAGCTAGATTAGTTTATTTTAGTTATTTCCATAGCATAATGTCTTATGGGATTTTGGTATGGGGAAATGCGGCTGATTCAGAAACTATTTTTGTTTTACAGAAGAGGGCCATTAGAGCTATTTACAATCTAAAACCGAGAGAGTCTCTTAGAGATAAATTTAAAGAAATTAATATATTAACTTTGGCCTCTCAGTATATTTACGAAAATTTAATGTATGTTCACAAAAACAAAGATAGTTTTAGTAAAAAAAGTGATATACATTCTGTAAACACTAGGAACAAACACAAGCTAGTGATGTCAGTTTCTCGACTCCACAGAGTCAGTAATTCATTCTTGGGGCAATGTATAGGCTATTACAACAAGGTCCCGGAAAGTGTATAGGTTCTCTCTATTACCAAGTTTAAATGTTTTATTAAGCTGAAACTGTATAAAAAGGGTTATTATAGTATAAATGAATACATGATTGATAATAACCCCTGGGAATGAGGTGGTCGCTTCCAAGCAGTTTCTAAAATAAATTTTTTAAATAGTTCGTAATCATTTATATTGTAAAATTTATTTAAAAAAAAAGTCCCGCTGGGTTTCTTGCTGGTTCTTCCCAGGACAGAGGGTTTTTTTTCGAACCAGTGGTAAAGTAAAAAATGACTTTCAATAAGAATTACACATGTAATGTATATTGAATTAAAAAAAAGCTCCATCTATTACGTTCTTTGTGTAAGAAAACATTCTTTTTTTAATTTAAGGAAAACATATTTTTTTATTTACTGTGTCTTAAGTATAAATATATTAATTATTATAGTACGTTTTTTTACACATAATTTTTTTAATTACTATTTCTGGGATTTTATGGCGCCATTGAACAAATGAAGTCGCTCAGGATCGTGCTTTGTGGCATTCCTTGGGGGTGGCCTATGTTCAGAAGTGGACTTGTGAAGGGCTGTAATGATGATGATGATGATGATGGTGCCATTGAACAAATTCGAACCTACATTTCAAATTAATAATTATTACTTTCGATAGAATTAACTAATTTCAATAAAACAAAGATTAAATGTAACTCGAACATACGCTTTATGATTTTCTTAACGATTTATTTGAAAATAAAAAGATGTTTACTTTAGACGTGATGCATTCATAAACAAACAGACAGACAGACAATTGTAAAAATTATAAAAATGTACTTATTTCATTATTTTCAGTTCCCCATAATGATCTTAGTCACAAAAATATACAATGTACAGAAACAGGCAACATGTTATCAACATTTTTATTATATGTATATATTTAAAGAGAGACGGCGCTGCTAGTATCAATTTTAAAAATCAAAGAGATTAATTCACGCGATTAATACATTATATAAAACGCAAAAGAACATATAAATCAGTTGCTGCATAGTAATCAAAAAAGAAAGTTTGATCCTCGCCGAAACCAATAAAATTGTTAATAGCTCTTTTAAAATTTGATTTACCACATAGAGTACTCGGCGGTAAAGAATAAATTGAGTTTGTCAACACGCAGTAGGGCAGCGAGTAATATAAAGATTAGCAGTAAATATGAAAAGTCGTTTACAGGAAAAACCACAACCTGCCTTTTTGTATTACATTTACACAACTATTGTACTTTAGATTTAGTTGATAAGGTTAATATATTTTTGTATATGTATATTTAATACGTTCTTTAATACTTTTGTTTACTGCGTTCTAGATATAATTATATCATTATAGAACATTATTTTACATCATTTAATTATGATTTATGATATGATATTAGTTTAAAATTCACTTGATGACTCAACCAACGCCACCCTTGAACAAATTCGTACCTATACTTCGTACCCATACTTCAGAATATTCGTCATAACTTTTGATGGAATGAACTGATTTTAATAAAATAAAGATTAAATGTAACACGTATATATATTTTATAATTTTCTTAACGATTCTTATGATATAAATTAGTACTTTATACGTGACACGTTAACA